CAAGAATAGAAGGAAACTCACCTGATGTAATGATACTTGCCCTTCTGAAGGTTCTTAACAAAAAGCCATTAAGAAGCAATTTCCTAAAGTGGTTAAGAGAGGAAGTATGTAAACCCAGTTTCCATTTGAAGGCACTGCAGCTTAGGTGAGATGACTTTCCCCGGCTCCCAGAGCTCTAAAACCCACTAGAGACCACTGTCTTATGGTCCCCTCATGGAAAGCCTCTGTGTGGAGCACTTGTGGGCGATTCTGGCCTCCTCCTCGCTCTAGAGAGGAATTCTGAGGAGCCGATTCATTCACCAGCTCCTCTTTCTGCCATGGCTGTTGGCTCTGAGTCTGCAGTCCTCCATTGCTTCCCTGACACAACATTTGAATATCTTTTCCAAGGCCTTCAAAGCTGCTCTACCAAGTGCTAGTTTGTAGTGTATTTCTTAACAGCGTGTTCCTTTACTTTGATGGTTGAGCCTAAAAGATGGAAGATATCCACCACTTCAGTATCTTCATTGCCAATTCAAAGGCTGGTTGTTCTACCTGTTGTCATTAGTTTGGTCTTCTTTATATTTAATTTTAGTTCCTTTTTTTCACTTTGCTCTTTAACTTTTATTACCAGAGCTTGCAGATCCTTTGCATTTTCAGCTATCGGTGTAGTGTCACCAGCATAGTGCAGGTTATTGATGTTTCTTCCTCTGATTTTAAAACCACACTCAACTTCTTCCAACCTAGCTTCCCTTAATGTATATTCAGCATATAGTTTGAACAAATAAAGGGAGATTATACAACCTTGTTGCGCTCCTTTGCCAATCCAGGGCCAGTCTGTTTCACCACGTTCTGTCTGTACTGTGGCTTCCTGACCTGTCACAGTCACTGGTCTTAGATGGGCGGCTATATAAATAGAACAAATAAATAAAATGTAAGCTTCTGATGAGGACAATGAGATACTCTGGGATTCCCATTTTCCTGAGCACATTCCACAGCTTGACACAATCAAAGGCCTTTCTATAATCGATGAAGCACATAGTGGCTTCTTTTTGGTATTCTTTGGCTTTCTCAGTTATCAGCAATAATGTTTCATGTTCTTAGGCTTTTTTTAAAGCCAGCTTGAACATTTGGCATCTCTTTGTCCATGTAGGGCTCTAATCTGCGTTGGATGATCCTAAGCATTATTTTGCTAGCATGTGAAATTAAGGATATTGTACAATAGTTTACACACTAAGCATCCTCTTTTTTGGTATTGGAATGAAGATTGACCTCTTCCAATCTGTTGACTACTATGTTGTTCTCCAGATTTGCTGGCATAGCTTGGTTAGAATCTTCAATGATTCTTCTTTTGTTGCTTACTGTATTTCAGTGGGTATTCCATCAGTTCCTGTAGCCTTCTGACTTGATAATGACCAGAGTGCTGATCTAACTTGGTTCTTGTAAGTAGGGAATATCTTCTAAGATACCTTGGATGTTGACATTTGTACTGTACGGTAGAATCAGTATATGTCTTCCATTTTAATTTGATTTCCTTTGAATTGGTGTCCTTTAGCATACCAATTTGAGGCTGGAACCTCCTTCTGAGTTCAGAGATCTTTTGAAAGGCTTTCCTTGTTTTTCCACTTCTGTTTCCATCTTCAGTGTCTTTACATATGTTGTAATACTGCTTGCCTCTTGTAACAGGTCTCTGAAACTCTTTGTTAAGTTCCTTTCTGAAATTATCTTTCTTAGTTTTAGCTTCTTTTCTCTTCTTTGCAATTCCATGGTTTGTTCTGACATCCAGTTTGCTTTTTTCTCTTTCTTCACTTTTGGCAGTCTCTTTTCCCATTCATCCTTAATTACTTTAAGTTCAGGCAGGACAAAATATAAGAATGATAATAACAACAACAGCAATAATGTCATAATTGCTCTGGTTCTCTATCAGTGAGATTCAGGACAAAGTGATTCCTGATGTTCTCCTTGAAAATGGTGGGTATATGTTCATATTGAGGAAACTGACTGGCTTTCTTCTTCTTTAGCTTAACTTGGAACTTGCACATGAGCATTATCTGTTCCTGTCAGGATCTGCGCAAGCTACCAATTAAAGGCTATTAGAAAGTATGCTTAAAATGTA